AATAACCCAAAATTTATATAATAATAATAATAAGGCAAAATAACCTTTTTGGTCCCTTAACTTTAACTCGGGGTCCACTTTGGTCCCTTATCTTTAAAAAGTGCCAAGTTGGTCCCTTAACTTTTAAAATGGTGTCACGTTTATCCTTCCGTCTGTTGCCGTTAGTTTGAGTTTGAAAAAATTTCCACGTTTGTCCATGTGGAGTGCTGAGGTGGGAGTGAAGTGAAGTGGAGTGCTGAGGTGGAAGTGAAGTGAAGTGTCTTAGTGGAAGATTGAAGAAGAAGAAGAAGAAGAAGGAAAGATTGAAGAGTGAAGACGATTTTGGTGTTCATTACCCACCATTACCCAGAAGAAGAAGGAACGATTGAAGAGTGAAGACGATTGAAGACGAAGACCTGGTTTTTTTATTGAGGATTGAAGACGATTCAAGAGCCAATCTCAAAAGGTTAGTTCATTTCTCTCTGATTTAGGGTTCTCTGATTTAGGGTTCTCTGATTTAAACGTTAATTACTTACATGGTATGATTAGGTATCATGGATGAAGTTTTTCATTTGTTCTTATGTTGTTTTTCATCTCAGACCAAATATGTTGTTATATACCAAATATGATGTTATATGTATCTTGCTGTTTATAGGTATCCTGCTGTTATATACCAAACTTAAGTGTGCTGTTGTTATATACCAAACTTAAATGTGCTGTTGTTATATACCAAATATGAACCAAATATAATCCAAACTGTTATATGTATGTTGCTGCTATAGACTAAATTGTTATATACCAAATATGAACCAAACTTATGTATGTTGTTATAAATATGCTGCTATATACCAAACTTAAGTGTGCTGCTGTTATATACCAAATATGAACCAAACTTATGTATGCTGTTATAAATATGCTGCTATATACCAAACTTAAGTGTGCTGCTGTTATATACCAAATATGAACCAAACTTATGTATGCTGTTATAAATATGCTGCTATATACCAAACTTGAGTGTGCTGCTGTTATATACCAAATATGAATCAAACTTATGTATGCTGTTATAAATATGCTACTATATACCAAACTTAAGTGTGCTGCTGTTATATTCAAACTTAAATGCTACATTGTATGTTATTGCAGGGTCTGTTCAACAGCATACGAACTCCAACTCAATCAAACTCCAACTTAGACTCCATCTCAGACTGTTCAACAAACTAGTCAACACACTCCGACTTCAACTCAGACTCCAAGGCAGACTCCATCTCAGCCTACTCAACAATCTTGCCAAGCATCTCAGCCAAGCAAGAGACAAAAGCTGTCTGTAAGGAAGCCAACAAGACCTTTTGTGCCACCTGGTCCTACAACTAGGTTGAGTGCTGCGAAGAATGTTGTTGGCCCAGTAACAAGGAGGTCTACTCCAACAAAGAGGACCATGCCAAAGAAGAAACTCTAAGTTGTGGAACATGTTAGTTACCTAGTACAAGTTTATGTATTGTACTGCTGTCATTTTGGAACAAGTCTATTACATTCTACTGTTGTTGTAATGAACAAGTTTATGTGTTATAATTTGAACAAGTTTATAATTTGAACATAGTCTATTACATTCTACTGTTGTTGTAATGAACACTGATTTTATCTTCAGTGTATATACCCCCACGGGTATATAGTGTAAGCAGCTTCAATAAGCATATACCCCCACAGGTATATAGTGAAAGTATCTTGCTCGTCAAACTTGTATGAGTTGTCTTCATCAAAACATAGAAGGCTTTCAATCTTGATTCCACATCCACTGCTTTCATGAACAAGTTTATAATTTGAACATGTTGTACTCTACTGCTGTCATGAACAAGTTCTACAGTTGTTGTATTTTACTGTTGTCATGAACATGTTGTTTTGGAAAGTATTACAGGTTTATGAAATGAACCAAATAGGCTGTTATGTTGTTATGCTGCTATATACAAAATAGGCTGTCATGAACATGTTGTATTTTACTGTTGTTATGCTGCTATATACCAAATAGGCTGTCATGAACATGTTGTATTTTACTGTTGTTATGCTGCTATATACCAAATAGGCTGTCATGAACATGTTGTATTTTACTGTTGTTATGCTGCTATATACCAAATAGGTATTATGAAATATATACCAAAACTGTTATGCTAAAAGCAGTCCAAACTGGATAAAACACATTGTTCAAACTGTTATATGTATGCTGCTTTATGTATAACCAAAATTGTTACATGTATAACAAAAACTGGGTAAAACACTTTAACCTAAAAGCAGAACCTAAAAGCAGTCCAAACTGTTATATGTATGCTGTTGTTATATACCAAACTGTTTTATACCAAATACAATCCAAACTGTTATATACCAAACATAGAAAACACATTGACAGACCAAAACTGTTATATATCAAACATAAAAACACTTTGACATGATATAATCCAAAACTGTTATATTCATTCAGGTTGAACTGCAAAAACTGAAATTAACTAAACTGATACAATCCATATATTAAAATCCAACTATTACATTCATGTTGAAGTCATACAAACTTTAACTAAACATAATACTTCTAAACAAACTGTAATAACCTAACTACCCCTAACAACTAATACAATGATAATCATCACAAACATCAAATTCAAAATCTTTTTCCACTTCATGATATTCTTCATTTCACTTTCAAGTTTCATTAGCTTTTTCCCTAATTCTTCATTCTCCATTGTTGCCTTTTCAATGTCCTTTTTTGCTTCAGCAAGTCCCTTAGTTACCACACCCAGCCTATGCATCCAAAATTGCTCATTCTCATCACCCACCTCCTCATAAAACCAATCAAAGAAGGCACAACCAGCTTGCATACCTCCCTGTAAGATTAATTGTTTAGAGGATGATGAATAATAAACAGAAACATCAAAAAACAGAAACAGAAATTTACACTATATACCCGTGGGGGTACATACACTGAAACCATAACTTTACACAGAGAACAAAAGCATAACTTCAACAGAGAACAAAACCATGACATCAACAGAGAACAAAACCAGCTTGCATACCTTATAATTTGAACAACCCCAAAAAAGTTTTCCCATATTCTTAACAGTAGTTGCCCTTTGAAGAACATCCATGTCTCCACAATGGCACATGGGCTTCCATCGTGATCGACTACAAACATCCGAATTCCGACTTTTCGTTTTTGACATGGAAGAGGAACATCCAGATTTCATGCTTGCCCTAGATTAATTAACGGATTCGTGATTAGGATTGGGATTTGGGATTTCAACAGAAGGAGGAGAGAGAACGCAGACACATCATGAACAAGATTGCCATCTCAGCTGCCAGCTATACAAAACAAACAGACGTTTGGGGGCAACTGACGGTGCGGACTAAAATGACATCATTTTAAAAGTTAAAGGACCAACTTGACACTTTTTAAAAATAAGGGATCAAAATGGACCCCGAGGTAAAGTTAAAGGATAAAAAAAGTTATTTTGCCTAATAATAATAATAATTTTTTTTCTTCTAAATCTAATGTTTAAACTCGTGTCAAAGAAAATATAATGATAAAAGACTCATCTTAACTAACAAATTTAATAAATATTTATGACCATAACATAATAACTACTTATAGCTACATTAAATTTTATAAGATTTTTTTTAATCTCAAAATTTTAAAGTCTAAAGTTGGTCAATAGATATTTATGACCGTTATAGCTACATTAAATTTTATAAGATATTTTTTAATTTCAAAATTTTAAAGTCTAAAGTTAGTTCGTTTGACCATTTGGCCAGCCCAATAATGATCAAATAGGATTTCCATCTATTTTCCACCTCATATCCCCTTAACCACTAGTAGTGGTTAAAATAGGTAGTAAGCCATTCATTATTTAGCTTTATAATTTGTTTATAATTTTCTTTGAAAAATATTTAAATGGATATATCCAAATACGTCACGACATCACGCATGGAATATTATATGATAAAAAGGTAATTTAAAAATAATCAATTACTTCTGTTTTTAAAATTAATAACCATAATTTTAATTTTAAAAAAATAATATTACATGTTTAAATAAACCCGCATCCTGTTTCTCCAACTAATAATCTATTTTCTCCGTATCAATTTATAAGTAAAAGTCAACTTTTTTCATATTAATAAAATTTAACTCTTAGTCCTTTTTTGAAATGTATTTTGTGGGTTGGTTAAAAGCAATTTTAATTGATTGTTGTTTATGTAAAAATATAAAAAAAAATTAAATGCAATTTATATTTAATTTTTTGTGTAATAAATATTAATTTTTTTTATTTAAAAAATATGTATTTTAAAAAAATTTAATTGAAATTGAAATTGATAATTCTTTTTGCATATAATTTATAACAAAAAATGAGTGTTTTTTTTATAAACCATTATAGAGTAGTCGGATTAAGGTTTTTTTTACGCATAATTTTTGTTTTGTTTTTCATACATACTAATATAATAAATTAATTTTATCATTTTAAATATAAAAAAATTTTATAATACTTTTATTCAATTATTATTTCTATTAATTTATTTATCTCCATAATAAATAATAAGGATTATAATTTTTCATTTATAATAATTATTATATTACATTTAAAAAACCACATGTTAATAGAAACAAAAAAAATTCCAGAAATACAACATATAAATAAAAATCAACGAAGTACTTTGCCATGACATTATATATTAAAGTTATTTATAACTTTCCAAGTGGTTATATATTAGCTTAACGATTAAACAATTTCCAATGGCAAATAAAGAAAAGAATTATCCAAAGTTGATTGTTATCAACATTCAACAACACAACACACTCAGATCGAGTTGTTAAAAACATGTAACATGACGTGGTTTTGCGGTGTCAGTTTTATCCTGTCTCCAACTCCAACCCTTTCCAATTCCAATAATAAATACAATTACTACAATTACTTTCTTATTACATTTTTATGTTTACATATATCTATCTATATATCAATATATCCATTACCAATATTTGAAAAATGCCTGGTTTCATTGCTGGTGAGAAAAAATTTACAACCAAAAAAATGAGTTTTTGTTCCGATTTGGTGAACCATGATAAGTCAATTGTTTCCAACGGAAATCATAGACTGAGGTCTGAGGCTCTCGATGATGAGAATAGTCCTATTCTTTCTGGGCTGTCTGATGATGTTTCAAAGTATTGCCTCGCACTCGTGCCTCGTTCGAATTTTCTAGCTATGGGCGGTGTCTCTAAGAGATGGAAGCGTTATATTCAAAGCAAAGAATTTATAACCGTGCGAAAATTGTCCGGGCAGCTTGAGGAATGGCTCTATATCTTGACATCAGATACTGAAGGAAAAGGAAGTCATTGGGAGGTTATGGATTCTTTTGGTCATAACCGCCGCTCTCTTCCGCCAATGCCTGGTCCCCGGAAGGCGGAGTTCGGTGTCGTGGTTCTTAACGGAAAACTTCTTGTTATGGCTGGCCATTCATCGATTGATGGACCTGATTCTGTCTCCGCAGAGGTTTACCAATATAATTCTAACCTCGACAGGTATGTTTGTCAAAGCCTTCTTAATTTTTTAGAGATCCAGTGTAGATTCGTAAAACTGTGACAAATATTTTGAGGCCTTATATAATTATAGTTTAACTGTGAGAAATTTTGGCATGTCCTTGTATCTTCCAATAGCTGTATATTTAAAGTTTGTAATTGCTATTGCAGTTGGAGTAGATTGTCAGACATGAATGTGGCTCGGTACGATTTCGCCTCTGCAGAAGTCAATGGCTTGGTTTATGCAGTAGGAGGATATGGAGCAGAAGGCGACAGTCTATCTAGTGCCGAGGTTTATGATCCGGATACTAACAAGTGGACATTGATCGAGAGTCTTCGTCGTCCAAGATGGGGTTGTTTTGCTTGCGGATTCGAGGGGAAGCTCTATGTGATGGGCGGAAGGTCAACTTTTACAATTGGAAACTCAAAGTCTGTAGATGTTTACGATCCCGAGAAACAAATCTGGCGCGAGATGAAAAATGGGTGTGTTATGGTCACTGCTCATGCAGTACTTGAAAAGAAGTTATTCTGTATGGAGTGGAAGAATCAACGAAAGTTATCGATATTTGACCCTGATGATCATTCATGGAAAACCGTATCGGTGCCTCTGGCGGGGAGTTCGAGTGTTGGTTTTAGATTTGGGATACTACATGGTAAGCTTTTGTTGTTTTCACTGAAAGAAGATCCTACTTATAGGACTTTGTTGTATGATCCGAATGCATCACCGGGGTCGGAGTGGGGGACTACTGATATAAAACCATCTGGTGTGTGCTTGTGCAGTGTAACAATCAATGCCTGAAAATGTTTAATGCTTCTGAATTGGAGATGTTGATAGAGTAGGCAATAGAGCTAGTGTTTTATGTTGTTTATGATTGTGATTGTAACAGTGTACAGGGTTATGGAAAAAAATTGCAACCACAATTTTGGCTGCAAAATGTTCTTTTTTATGAAAGATAGGAAAATGAGTGTAGCTTATGTAAAAAATATGCAATCCATATCCATAATGCTAAGTTGATATTAGATATTCTGAAAAAACTGTTATGTTAGTTCAAAGAGTTCTATGAAATTACACCCTAAAAAAACAGAATTCTATCTGATAAGACAGATGATATTAGATGTTTAGTAAGTCATTATAGTTCTTGCTGATATTTGAGATTTAGTTAATATCTCATATTGGGATATTAGGTTGGTTATGAAAATCAACTATACAGCCTTATGTTGTTCAATGATAGCTTGTTCTTGCGATCTTTGTTGTCTTGTGATGCCGTGAGTTTTATCTTCTCAATATTAAAATTTGAATTCCACTTAATTGACTTCAGGGTGATTCTTTAAGATTGATACACCATAGACTTAAACTTATACATTAAATTACTATAAGTACGGTCTAACTTATACGGTATACAATAAATGCAATCTTAAAAATATGCAGCAATAAATATAAATGAATGAATGTTTGTAAAGTAAAAGGATAAGGAAAGGAGAAGATACATAGATGTATAGTACTTTGACATTCGTCTTCGCTTTGCCTACATGCACTCTTCAATTAATGATGTCGTCGGAACATAACCACAGTCTCCTACTATGATGATAAAATGATTAGAACGTTTTGATTACAAAGAACTATCACATGATAATTTCTTTGATGAAACAGATACTAAACTGCTAACAAAATACAAGATCCCTCAAAATCTTGATCCAGTAACCTCGCTATTCACAATAATCTGCTCAAAGTATTTGTTAGTGGTGATCCCCCTGATTCCATCGATTTCTTGTCTGAGCGAATTCCATTAACTGAGCGTATATTGGACAACTCCCAACTTTGTCTGTTATAAATCTTTCTCCAACGCCACCAAAGAAATACAACCCCTAATTCCGCCTTATAGATCGTTGATACTTGATTCTACCAAACTCTTCCTTGGAGTATAATGGAAACTCTCATCTTATTAGATAACTCCTCAATACCAAACTGCACTCAAGAAATGATACCTGCACTTGTTACAATAAAAAAACCAGCTACACAAAAAAACATTATATACCCTAATGTACCACTAGTTTCCCTTACAATTAATCTTTAGAGGAGGATCCATAAACAAGAAAAAAGACTGAGGATGAAGATGGCGAACAGTGCCAAAAAATCTCAACAACAACTAAAATTACAAACAGTTAGTCAAGTATTTTAGCTTTAATGAAAGAAGAACACACACACACACAAAAGGTTCAAGCAAGTTTCTAGATGAGTGAGTCTTGGTCCTTGATAGTTATCAAGAGCTTGATCAAATCCTCAACAAGATTGATCAACTCATTATCAAATTCACACAAGAACAACAACCAAATTGCATAAATAAGATGCAACAAAAATAGATAAAGAATTGGCATGAGTTCAATATCAAAAGGTTGGTGTTTGGATAAGAAGAGAGAAGAATGATGTAAAGATGAACACACTAAGAAGAGAAGACAAAATCACAATTTTTGTCACTATAGATCACCATAGGTTTTCCACAATTGTTACTTTCACCAAAAGAAACATTAATTTAAATAAGTGATGGAAAGTTGAATTTTTTGTGGTTTGATTTGAATCATGAAAGAAATTTAATTCAAATCAATCTAGACAGTATCAAAAAGAGACATTTTTTAAAGCAAATGATTTGAATCATTATTTGCACTTGATTCAAATCAAATATGGATATGATTCGAATCATATTCAATATTTGATCCAAATCAATTGATCCAGAAGGTAATTCTAATTTTTAATAGGTGAGTGATTCGAATTAAATATAACACTTAACCCGAATCAAATAATCATCAAAATTCAAATGTTCTAACTTGTGATTCAAGCTACTCATATGAAAATGACAAAATAGTAACTTTCATAGGCTCAAAAAGGAATTGCTAACAAGGATCAAATGAATATAATTATGAAATATAAAGGGTTCTTAGTGGTACTGTTGTGAATCTTGTTGTGAATTACGACAAAATTCAATATCAATTTGTGAGGCAAAGAACAATAGCAACCAAAATAAATGGTCTTCAGCAATAATAATCCGTACACAAATAATATAACAGAATAAGGCAAGAAAAAATTAAAGGTTTGTTTATCCAGTACGATCAAACGATCTACTCTGAAGGAGAGAGCAGCTCTTTAATTCACTATACTTAGAAAGTTGTTAAAAGAGATTACATATGAGTTACAAGAAAATAGCCTTCGCCTTTAGGTTCCCAAGAACAACCCTAAAGGCGCCCAAGAACAACCTTATTTTCTAACTAAGTGTTTTTCTACCTCTCCAACTCTCAATATATGAATCACTCAAACTCAAGGTTTTCTTTGTGCATAGTTGAAACTCTATGCTATACCTTTAAAATCTTGTTCTCCCTTGTTGGTGTAAACTCTAAGATTGTCACACACCAAGCATATAAGAGATAATATTTATAATAGCAAATACCCAACAAACAAAGCCCAAAGTCACATGGATCCATGGATTGAATCGAAAAAGGCCGAAAATGAAAAAAACACTATTCATCATACGGACACACTATTCATCCGTATGAATAACACTATTCACCGACCGATTTTTTTTCCCGACTTTCTAAAACTTCTGATTTTCGCAGTAAATGCAATCTCCAAAATATGTTTTCTTTCTCTTTATCAACAAAGGTTTTAAGGCACATTTACAACAATCTCCACCTTGACTTTGAACCGTGTTGATACTAATTTAACAATTAACAACATTACTGCTCTCTACCAAGTTGAAACTTTAATCAAATTCAAGCAACCCTTGAATCTTGATCTCGCAACTTGCATCCATTTGTTCCCAATTACCCTTTTCTGCCTAGGTAATTTAACAAGTCTACAAGTATGATTTTTCAACCACCCTTGACTCCATCTGTTTTCAAATGCCTCCTGAAGGTTTTTCTTCTTTTATTTTGTAGTCTTTCAGCCACATTAAAAACATAATATCCAAGGCTAGCATAACCGTCCCTTTGAGATGCTACAATAACCCTCCTTACCTTATCATGAGTCAAATGATAATCAGAGACCTCTGTAACTGTTCCATCACTACTGCTAGCATCCATAGTAGGAAACTCCACCTCAAACTAAGTTTTCTCCGTTATAATTTCTCCCAGGTTTCTCCCTTGGTTTTCACTATTCTTCTTCTGAAGAAATTCTCTACCAACCAAGTAAGTTGTTTTAACCTCAGCTTTTCTCCAGAAACTCAATAAGAACTCAGCGGTAACATGCATTTTTATCCCTTGATTTCTGCAAAATTCATTTTACTCCTTCGAAACTTTCTCAAGGCATTCATAACGCCTTAAACTCAAATTCCATAGCTCTTCCTTGTCATGAAAGCCTTAACTAGTTAACGATGAATGAGTAATAACATTTGAACCTTCTAAAATATATAGACTACATATTTTAGACCCTTTAAAAATAATCAATTCATCATGCAAAACCTTCAACACTCCATGTTCAACTCTAGTACAATAGCCTATATCATCAAACATACTTATAGATAACAAATTTCTCTTGAGTTTTGGAACATACCTCACATTGTGAATAAGAAGTTCACGATCATTAAACATTTAAAATCTGACCATACCAATACCATGAACCTTGCATGCCTTATTATTACCAAGGCGAACTACTCCACCTTGCACCATCTTCAAAGTTTCAAAGTATTCTATTCTTGGACACATGTGATAAGAGAAAACTGAGTCAATGATCCAACTATCTTCAGTTTCCAAACTCTATACTACTAGTGCTTCAACATCCTCATAACTTTCCTCACCCAATGCAACTACAACTTGAACAGAATCTTCATTGACCTTTCTTTCAGGAAAATCCCTTTTAAAGTGACCGATTTTCGAACAATTAAAATATTTTATCTTTGACTTGTTAGACCTCTTTGATTCAGACACCCCTTTACGCTCACATCCTCCTCTTGACACATTTAAGCCTTCACTAGTATCTTCAATCTTCAAATCTTTCGACTTTAAAAATTCTTTGGATTTCACCTCCGTTTGGACTTCATGCAAAGTAATAGTACCTTCCTTACCATAAAGAAGGGCATCCTTAAAGTGCTCAAAGGATTTGAGTAATGAACTCAACAGGAGCAAAGCCTTGTAATCATCATCAATCTTCACTTCAATATTCTCAAGATCATCGATAGTCTTGTGAAAGTCTGTGAGTTGCTTAACTATGGATTTTTTCTCCACCATTCGGTATAAATAGAGTTGTTTTTTCAGATATAACCTGTGAGCCAAAGACTTTTTCATATATAATGATTCAAGTTTTTCCCACATAGCAACCGCAGTTTGCTCCCTGGCGACTTCTCTTAGAACTTTATCCCTGAGACACAAGATAATGGCACTCTTAGCTTTATCCACCATCTCGGTCTTCTGTACATGTGTAAGCCCTGCAGACATCAATGCTTCACTCTTCAAAGCATCGATACACTTCTCTTGAATTAAAATTGCTTGTATCTTAATTTTCCACAACCTGAAGTCGTTGTTACCGAAAAATTTCTCGATCTTCCATCTACTAACCATGATGCTCACTTGTCAACAATATATCATTGCTCCACACTCACCGCACCACTTGTTGTGAGTTACGACAAAATTCAATATCAAATTGTGAAGCAAAGAACAATAGAAACCAAAATAAATGGTCTTCAGCAATAATAATTCGTACACAGATAATATAACAGAATAAGGGAAGAAAAATCCGAAGGTTTGTTTACCCAGTTCGATCAAACGATCTACTATGGGGGAGAGAGTAACACTCCAATTCACTATACTCAGAAT